CAGGCACATACACACACACACACACATACACACACACGCACTCACAAACATGCGCGTGTGTAGGGAGTACCTGGTACTTCATGATGGACGCGGAGGTGCGCCAGCCGTGCAAACACAGCACCTTGGGCTTGCCGCTGGCATCCCCGCCAACATCACCATCACCATCACCACCGTTACCACCATCACCGCTGCCGGTGTTGAGGCCAAGGGCTTCGTCCCATCCGAGCATGCGTCGTGCCACCTCCGCCACATCCACATCGCCCGGTGCGCGGCCCTTGAAGCCGGCAATGCTGTGGTACACGTGCGCTGCGCCCTCGGCAAACCCTGACGCAAGGTCGTGGTATTGGAACGCAGATGCCATCTCCATCATCTCTCCTTCAAAGCGCCATGCCTTGCTCGGCGTGCTGTTGACAGCCCGCATCAGTCGCGGCATAGCTTCTGGTTGCGATTCGCCCCACTCCTCAGCCAGTGACGCTCCAATGTCCTCCGCCGTGGCGAGCGCAGCGATGTTCAGCATCAGCGCTGACACCCCCTTTGTGTAGGCGGCATAGCACATCTTCATCGACGACGCCTGCCCAATGCGTCCCCCAACCACCTTGACACGCACCGCATCCGTCAGCGCAAACACGCGCTCCACCTCGCCCGTGTCCTTGCCAGCCAGCGCAATCAGCGGCGGCTTCCGCTCCTGGTCAGCAGACGACTGCTGTGATTGCTGCTGGTCGTAATATTGCGACCGCGGCGGTGGCCCAAGCACTGCTCCGTCCACATACACGCACTCGTTCTCGTGCATGATGCGGCCAATCTGTCGGGACGTCGTAGACGCAACCGCATTCATGTCGCAGTACAGCCCTGTCAAGAGCGTGAGAGGAGGACAGAAGTGTTACAAACAAGCAGGAGAAGAAGCCCTGGGAAAGGCCAGCACTACCAGTGTCGGTGGCGGGCGCACTTGAATGACAAGCCAATCCTCAGTACCATAGCACACAATGAGCAATTGGGGGCTGCGCTCACCTCTAAACCCGTGGGCGATACATGCTTTCGCGACGTCCATGGCATGTGCTGGGGGGACGATAGAAACCAGCATGGTCGCCTCCTTACACAGGTCATCCAGCGAGGCAACCACGCGCACGCCGGCAGCCGTTGCGCGCTCCCGTGACGCTTCACTGCGGCCTTCCAGTGTCACAATCACATCCTTCACCACGTCTGCAACAAGGGACACAGTCGAACGGGACGGACTGGGTGAGTGGTCAGCAAGCACACGAGTACTCAATAAAGTGCAACATCGCCACACGTACAACCACCGCACCTGGGTGTGCCTCTGAGATGCCGCGAAGAACGGCAGCAACTGCTGCACCCATCTGGCCACAGTGCAGCACTCCAGCAACATGCGCCATCGTCAAAGTCAGCTCAAACACTTCTGGATGCAAAAAAAAAAAAACGTGCTCCCTTGGCAAGGCTCGAACTTGCAACCTCTCGATTAACAGTCGAACGCGCTAGCCAATTGCGCCACAAGGGATCATTCATCTTAATCGCCGCGAGCAACTTCCCTCTCTTCAAACACGGCGCAGCCAAGAAGCAAACACGAGAGTGTAACCGAAAACGGATCAAATTCATCAAGGCAAAGGAAGACACATCGACAGACCACAGTGGCGGCGGTTCGATGAAGGTGTGTCTGTGGTGCGTGCGCGTGTGTGTGAGTGTGTGTGCATGTGCATGTGTGTGTGTGTGTGCATGTGTGTGCATGTGTTTGTGTGTGTGTGTGTGTGCATGTGTTTGTGTACATGTGTGTGCTTGTATCTATGCGTGTTTCTGTGTGCACTCCCAACTCCTCACCCCTTCACCCAGCCCTCACATCGCTCAGCGTCTCCACTCTCCTTCTCGTCTCTCCCTCACTCACACACACACACACACACACACACACACTCACTCACACTCACACACACTCACTCACACACACACACACACACACATCATGCCCCTCCCCCTTCATCCAGGACGCCACTGACACCAATGTCAAGTCCACCGTCCACAGTCCCATGCCGCAGCCAGCTCAGCGCACTGAGAAGACCAACAAGACCCGCTCTCTCAGGAAGCAGCCATAGCAGCAACGGCAGGCACGGCAGGCACATCACGGTGGCCTGAGCCTTTGCGCGCACGCGTGCAACGCACTCTCGTGCGTTATTGTCACCAATTGCACCGACTTTGCGCACTGCGCAACGATGCCAAGAGCCCTCGTGCCCAGCTCCCGTTTGCAGCCATCCCATCTACTTCCATGGCCCCCCCCCCCTCACACACACTCTCTCCTCTCCGCCACGCAGCACATGCACATCGTGTATCCTGTTTTGTTTCCCCCTCCCTCCGTCTCTCTCTTCGCCGTCGGGGCTGTCCTCCTCTCTTCGCCGACACACACACGACTGCCTTTCAAGCATTCCTAAGGTGCTGGTTGTGCTGGTGTATTTCATCACATCATGTGGTCACAACACAATGCAAACCACAGTATGATCGATGACTGAGCCTCAGCGTGCGCATGAGGCGACGAGAGAACAGCAGCAACAACAACAACAACAACAACAACAACAACAACAGCCACAACAGTGGCAGTAGTAGCAACAACAACAACAACAGCCACAACAGTGGCAGTAGTAGCAACAACAACAACAACAACAACAACAACAACAACAACAACAACAACAACAACAACAACAACAACAACAACAACAACAACAACAACAACAACAACAACAACAACAACAACAACAACAACAACAACAATCAGGCGTGCAAACAAGCGCACACTTGCACCCCCGCGCGCTCACAGGTGGCAGGTCATGAAACCCACACCATCAAGAAAACGCAACAGCAGCAGCAGCAGCACAACAGCCAGCAGCAAGAGCATGCGGCGGTGGCCGTGCCCCGGGCGTCCCAGCGGTGCCCAAGGATCGCAATCTCCACGCTGCTCCTGGTCTTGGCGCGTGTGCGTGCCATCAGCACGCGCTTGCTCCTGGTCCGTTGCCTCGTTGCTGGGCTTGAGGACTTTGCCGTTCTCGTCCATCTCGCGACCGCACATCCGGCACACGCGACGCTTGGGCATGGTGGCGACGTCTTGGCACCTGGCAGTGTGTGTGTGTGTGTGTGTGTGTGTGTGCGTGTGTGCGTGCGTGTGTGTGTGTGTGTGCGTGTGTGTGTTTGAATGAGAAAGGCAACATGTGCCATGTGCACGTCGGCAGCAAGACAAACTGTGCGAACGACCACAACAGCAACACCAAGATGATGGCAGCACGGAGCACCCCCCCCCTCACAAGCACTCAAGCACTCGCAAACAACGGGGATTGCACAAGATGAGGATGGCTTGGTGTTTGCGGTGACAGTGCAAGCACTGGTCACGCAGGCAGCGATGTCAAGTGCACAAAGCAACTCAACACAGCGCACAAGCAGTCAACCTTAAAGTGTTTGCTGCGCGTCTTGGCTGTTGCGCCTTGCTGTCTTTTGAGTGGATGGAAATGTGTGTGCGCGTGCGTGCACGTGTGAGGGAATGCGTGTGTTGGCAACATCAAACCTGCATTGAATCCGCCAGCATCCGAACAAAAACAAAAAAAAAAAACCACAGCAGACACCGGTAACCAAAGCGCAAACAAAGGTGATGAACGTTCACCACGTGCATTTGTGTCTCACGCGAGTGAAGGAGAAAGAGGGGGTAAGGGAAAGAAAGCAGAGAGAGAGACAATGTGTGTGCGTGTGTCTGTGTCTGTGTGCGTGTGAAATGATGTTTGTGTCAGTGTGTATGTATGCTGATGCGGTGCAGCAACCCCGCGAGTTGAGACAAAGACACTGTCGACAGAAACACTCACGTTCACCATCGTTGTTGCCTCCATCCTGGTGTGCACTCGCGAACAGACAGTGCCAGTGTTCTGTGTGTTCCAGCAGCAATTGTCTGTCCATTCACTTGTCCCATCAGCAATGGACACCAACGAAGACGGCCCAGGGCCCGCCATGCCCGAGTTGACGGTCAGCTGGCTGTATGGCCCTGCGTGTGCATGTGCATGTGCACATGTGCGTGTGCGTGAGAATGAAGAACAGTCATGTGCGATAACGTGTATGCATGAGCCGACATGTGAGCAGCTGTCGCTTTGCACGAGCCACAGGTTCACACCAGCGACGTACACTCACCCATCCACACACACGCACACACATGCTCACACACTCACACACATACTCACACACTCACGTACTCACATACTCACACTCACACACACACACACACATACTCACACACATACTCACACACTCACATACTCACACACCTCAGGTCGAGCCCATGAACGCAGCCACCGCCACGATGACAGCTGAAGCGCATACCATGCCCTCCCCCGAAGGCAGCAGCACTCCAACCAGCACCAGCAGCACCAGCAGCAGCGGTATCACCAGCGACGCGGTGGCCTTGCGCCATATCCGCCGCCACGGCAACGCCAACAGCGGCACAGCTCGCCCCACCCGCCGCACCGCCGCCGCTGCCACGACGACCCGCAACGCCGCCCGCAACAGCACCAGCGCAATCACCACATCGCGTGCCACCGCTGTTCTTCGTGCAACCCTGCAGGTGGAGGTGCACCCCCGACGCAGCGTCACGTCCGAAGCGCTCAGGGCCAAACTCGACGGCCTCATACGCCAGGGCGGTCGCGCTGCTGTCCTCACCAGGGGCGACTTCTTCTTGCCTGCTGGCAACGCAGCCGTCGTCACGCCAGGATACATGCACCGCAGCACGCCAAGGCCAACACGCCCGTCGCCGCTTCGCCAGGAGCAGAGCGCCGTTGTCGCTGATCGTGCCGCTGTTCGTGCTGGCGGTGACCGGGACCGTGAGGTTGACGGTGTTGCTCAGCGCATGCAGGGCGTCACCATCACCCGCCAGCAGTGAGACAGACACACGCAGGGGCAGCTGATGCGACGAGATTTTTTTTGGGGGGGGGGGAGGGTTGAAGCAGCGGTGGGCGGGACAGTTGTGTCGACCGGTTGGTTGGTTGTGTTGGTTGGAGTGCCTGTTTGTTGGTGTGGTTGGTTGCTTGGATGTATGTGCCAGTGAGCCATGGAGTGGAAAGGAGGTGCACATGGCTGCCAGCTTAAGTGCGTGCGTCTGTCGACAGCTGTCGTTGGCCATGCACTGGTGCTTGTGCGCACCACGTGCCTTCCGCTCATTGGCTGGGAGTCGTGAGTTGTGTCGAAGGTTGTTGTTGTTGTTGTTGTTGTTGTTGTTGTTGTTGTTGTTGTTGTTGTTGTTGTTGTTGTTGTTGTTGTTGTTGTTGTTGTTGTTGTTGTTGTTGTTGTTGTTGTTGTTGTTGTTGTTGTTGCTACTGCTGCTGGTTCAGCCCCCCTGCCTTGTCTTGTCTTCCATTGGTCGTCTCATATCTATGTGTGTACGTGCATGACTGTGCCTGTGTGTCATGATGCGGTGTGTTCGTTGCTGTGGAAACCTGCTGTGACTACCATCGCTATCATGAACAAGACTGCAACAAGTACACAGTGTGCACAAACGCGAGTGGCACAACGTGAGGTGATGTGTGCATGTGTGTGTGCATGTGTGTAGCTGGTTGGAGGGGGGAGAGTAAAACTGCATGAGCAAAGCGCAAGCTGCTCAACTCACACACACACACACACACACACACACACACACACACACACACACACGACATGCTCACACACACACACACAGACACGCACGCGTGTGTGAGTCACATTTGTTGCACTCACCCCGATGAAACAAAAGACTGCCGAGGTGACTACCAACATCATCCAGTGTGGCTGGTACGCAGCCTTCTCGACTGCAACCATGTCGAAAGCAGTGATGAAGATGGTGATGTTGATGGTGATCCTGCTGACGTTGACTGGCGTGTGGCGAACAGTCACTTCCTGTCAGATCGCACACGCAGACGCGCACAGGCACACAGGGGAAAGCACGCATGTGATCAACCGCAAGACATTCTTCGTGAGCAGAACAACAAGTGAAGTGGAAGGGCATGCGTCCCAAATCACGACACAAAACAGAGGCAGCACAAGAGGACAAGCGATCAACGTTCGCAGCACAGCTCCCAGGAGAGCAGCGTGCATGACACGAGCACAGGAAGAGACAGACGCTCTCTCGACAGCAGAGAGAGAGAAGAACGCATGCACGAACACAAAAGGCTGCAGACGTACATGATTGCCACCAGCATCAGTCGCTTGTCACTCGCGCAGTCTTCGAGGGAGGCACAAGTGTGCAAAGCCGGGTCCCTGTGCACGGTTGAGAGAAATTGATGTGCGGTGGGCTGAGCTATGATGGCGGGTGATAATCCTGACGATGTGGATGGATGATGCCAGCTGCGTGGGACGCTATTTACTCGATGTACCACGAATGCACAAGCACTCGCGCCGCGAACGTGAGCAAAATACACAAACCGGCAGGGAGGTGTGTGTGTACCTAGTTCCAATCGAAATACAGATCGAACCTCGCCGCAAGACAGGCAAGTCCTTCCTGCAAAAGGAGAGGGGCGTAGCTGTCATTATTGATCATCAAATCATCCTGCAGAATAAATATATTCCCCCAAAAAGTTTACAGCGCGTGTGAGCAAGTGAGACCACGAGCATGTGTGTGTCTGTGGTCTGTGTGTGTGTCTGTGTGTGTGTCTGTCTGTGTGTGTGTCTGTCTGTGTGTCTGTCTGTGTGTCTGTCTGTGTGTGTGTGTCTGTGTCTGTGTGTGTCTGTGTGTGTCCATGTGGTAAGATGTATCCACGGTTATGCATGCAAACTGCAACATGTAAACACCAAACAACTACAACAACAGCAACAAGGATGCGGCATGGTCGGGTGTATGCGCACAAGTGCACATATGAGCGCGCACGACAGCAAACCAAAAACAATTTGTGCCACTCACGTCATGCCCTGCTGTCTTGTCTCTGGTCAGCAAATAGACATCATCTCATTCCACAACGAAGCAACGCCTTCCGGAACCATGGACGAAAGCCGTCAGGACCAAGTGCAGCGCACGCACCAGGCCGCGGTCAGTGAGGGATGGCGCAGTGACCTGCAGTGCGAGAGAGAGAGAGAGAGTGTGTGTGTGTGCGTGAGTGTGTGTGTGTGCGTGCGTGTGTGTGTGTGTGTCTGTCTGTGCAAGTGTGTGTGTGTGTGTCTGTCTGTCTGTGCAAGTGTGTGTGCGTGTCTGTGTGTGGTTGCGTTCGTAGGTGCAAGACAAGGCGTGCGCAGCCATGTGCGCAGAGCCCTATCAACCCCAAAGACAAAGACATCACCACAGTCCACATCTCCCAAAACACACACACGCACGCTCACACTCACTCTCACACGAACGCGTTTGTTCATCCCTCTCACCCCCTCAACCTTCACTCCACGCCATGCGTACCTGTGATGTCGAATGTGCAGGACACGCGCGCTGGTGCTGAGGATGGCAGCCACAACCACGATCACGACCACGACCACCTTCGCTTTCGCCGGCGTCTTCGTCGCGCTCTCCGCCGCGTGCTGCATCGCATCCGCGCTCACCGTCGCCGTCATCATCGCCCTCGTGTCATCAATCGCCAACGCAACCCATCCCCCCAGCGCAACCAGAGTACCACCCCGCCGCCACCACTCCGCGACCACACCGACACCCAGCCGCGCCACCACCGCCACCACCACCAGCAGCAGCCTGACAATGGCGTGCACGCTCCACCAACACCACGCCCTTCTCCTCCTCGCTCTCCTCAAGTCAACCGCCCCAACGATGCTCAGCGCACGGCCATCACGACAGCCCCTGTCGCCACACCACCACCACCACCACCACCACCACTAACACGCCTGGTGCCACCTCCCCGCGCTCTGCCTTCGCCCCCTCCATCGCCACACCTGGGCGAGTTCATGATGCCCGAGCCACTCCCCATAGCACGACCACCATCGCCACCAACACCGCCAACACCGCCATCACCAGCGTCCCCGCGGCACTACTTGGGCCAGTTCATGTTTTTCTACGGCGAGCCCCACATCGCCTCCTTCGAGTGACGCCATCCATCCTCAACGCAGCAGCTGCTGCTGCCGTGGCAGTGATGCTCTGTTCTGCTGGTGGTGGCTCTTGTTCTTGCTATGCATGTCGGTACCTGCGACAGTAAAACAAGACACACCACCACGCAACGAGACTGGTACATACACAAGCAGGGTTGAACAGGGTGGGTGACACATGCGCAGATGTGAGACGGGGGGAGTGGCAAGGACACCATGCAAAACAACATGAAGATACATGGAACGACAAGAAAGCAGGGTGCACAACACAACCATACGCACTGCCACCACCAGACACACCACCAATATACCTCGTTGCATGGTCTTGGTCTTGATGGGCCGCCGCTATCTTGATGGGCAGTCGCTGTCTTGATGGGCAGCCGCTCGCACACATGTCAGCGCCGCGCTGTTGGACAACAACAACAGCAACAGACACAAAAACAAGAGCCAGATCACACACACACGCATGCACGCACGCACACACGTGAGCGATAAGTGGCTGGGTGTCTGCTTGCAGGCAAGTGTTTGCTCATTCGCCGTCAAGTCGACAGGGAGCGCGCTCGCAGCAGGAACACAACAACATAAAAGAAAACCAGGACAACCGCAACAGTAACGGCTGATGCCGCGCGTTCAAAAACAGCCTGAAAATGAACGAAATCGGCCATTGAAAAAATTCACCCCCCACTCCCTTCCCCCCTCATGCTCAACCCAATCACCACAATTGTCCACAAACACACAGGCACACAGACACACACACACACAGACACACAGACACACACACACACACGAGACCCACACACCAGCATGGAGATCCCCGGCATCATCCACATGGCGTTCTGCCCGTCCTTGCAGCCGCTGCCGGAGCACGAGAGGTACAGCAGCAACATCATCGCCCGCCATTTCATCAACTTGTGGCTGCTGTACATCGACCAGCACCGTCGCTGGGGTCACTTCGACGCGCTGCTCCAGACACACTTCCGTCCCTGGTTCGAGCAGCACGCACGCGGCCTGGCCACGTTCAAGTCCATCACAGAGCGCATAGCCAGGGAGCTGCACAGCTGCACCTTCAACGCCGACCAGTACATGGCCCTCGCCTTGTGGGCCAGCAGGCACGCCCACAGCACCGCGCCAACCCAAGCCCAGCTCCGCGCTGTCCACGACAGCTACTTCGTCCAAGGCGGCGTCTGGATCAACGACACCACGGCGAGCATTCTGGCCAGCATGGACGTGTTCACGGTCTCCCCCGAGCACACGGCCGTGCTGCTGCTGTACCACTGCCGCGATCCGCGCGTGTACGTCGAGATGGTCGGGACGCAGGGCACGCTCAACCAAGGGCTGCGCGACCAGACCGCGGCCTTCATCTCCATCCTCAAGAACATCCAAGATGCGCAGCAGGCCACCCTGGACGTGATGAGCGGTCGCCAGTCGCGGTACACGTTGACCCCCGCCGTCACACCGCTGCCACCACCGCAGGACAGCAGCACCGCAGCCGTCAACACCGACGATATGGACGAGTTCCAGTGGCGGGAGCTGTACATGTGATCGGGTGGACTGGAAGGATGATGCAGACAAGGTGGAGGGAGGGGAAGGAACCGGGTGATGATGGCGGTGGTGCATGCTGATGCTGTGTGGTATGTGTGTGTGTGTGGTGGGTATTTGTATGCACATGTGTGCGGGTGGAAGAGGGAGCACTGGGTACCGCATCACTGCTGGTTAGGGTGGTGGTGATGGTTGGTTGGTTGGTTGGCTGCCCGTGTTTGGACACGTTTCTGCGCGCACATGGTGTTGTTGCTGCTTGCCGCTTGCCATTGTGCGTGCTGGTTGCTGCGTTGGTGGTGGGCTCGGTTCAGTTGCTTCTGGTGCGTGCACGTCAGTCTGGATTCACAGTACACAGAGAAAAAGACAAGCAAAGCAAAGTTGACATCGGTGTGTGTATGTGTGATTGGTGAGAAGGGATGGACAGCAGATGCACAGCAGAACAGATGGA